AAAAAAAAAAAAACCTTCTCCATAGTTGGCTAGCCTTTAGGGCTATTGTATTCCTTTCATGCCTGAGGGCTAGCTTTATTTTTAAGTATTCACATAAATCACAGAAGCGCAACAGCTGATTTCAAAAACATTATGCTACCGTTATTATGTGCGTTTACGCCTGTCAGAACGGTAACACGCGGGACCCCCACGCTTTGTGATTTTGAGCTCTCTCTCATGCCCGCTCATTGACTTCTCTACAGAGGTAGAAACCGTCCCCGTACCTTTCAAATGCCAGACCTTCAGAGCCACAAAGAGCAACCCACGTACAACACGCGGACATCACACAAAAGGAATCTGGGAGAAATAAGCATTTTCGTCAGGTTTTACATTCCCCTCTTCTCATACCACTAGAGCTGACCGTTACTATCCGCTGTGCTAAGCGGCGTGCCCGCTTCTCCACGTCCCATTTCTACGTTTATCCACCTACGTCGGAGCGATAGCTGCTAGAAACGGAAAGCATCCCAGAAGGATAAAGGGCCAAACTCTGCTGACAGTTTGATGGCCTGTCAGTTTTTGGTGTGGTTTGTTTTTTTTTTTTTTTTTTAAATGAAAAAGTGAAATACCTTTGCGTTAGACAATGCTCATTCCACAGAATTAAAAAAAATTCTGCAGACACGCATCAATTCATGCAGTTACTTCAGTACTTCGTTTCATCTAGTGTTTCACTGATCTTCTTCTTTAAAGTATTAGCCATATTAACCTAGGGATGACAAAGTGAAGGCTCACACCACAAGGGGCAAATATTCTATCAAAGTCAAAATATTTTGTTATAAAACAACCTATAAAATAAATATCGATATAAAAATCGGGCTAAAACGATTCTCTGGCATTGAAATGAAATATTCTGCTATATTTCTCCTTTTAAAAAAAAATCCCCCAAACCCCCCTTATGCTGAAATTTCCATTATTTCTATGGAACAGAAATTCAGCTTCTTGCCCAATTTTACCGATCCTTAAACACCCTTTCCTCCAGGTTTTTTCCCCACAGCTCACTCGGTGAGACAACCAGCTAGGAGCAAAGACTTACTAGTGCAAGGGGCAAAGCCAGGTCTAAAGGGCTGTGGCTGACGGATTTAATACTTCAGATTTCCACTCCGGCTATCAAAAAATTACACAGCGTTGCAACAGTCACGTAAGGCCAATTTCCGCTAGGTCGCAGACCACTTGAACAGCGGCTCCATTTGTGTCAGAGGCAGAGTATTTTCCTTTGCAGAAATTTGTTGGTTGAAGGCAGACAGCCTTTCCCACCTCCTTGGTTCTCGAGGCTTTCCTAGGGAGCGCTACGCAAAAGTCCTCTCCTCCTAAGCAGCCTTTGCTGAACAAGCCGAAACACTAAACGCAGTTCAAACCCCTTGAGAGCAAGGTAGGCTTTGCTAATTTGATGGCAGTGCCGCAGCAGTACAGCATCTCATCCAGGAAGAAACGCAGGCAAAATGAGTTAGTATCAGTGCGCAACACATGGTGCAAACATGACCCTCGCGGACTTCCACCACCACCACGACGAAACTCTGCCCGCTCTGCTCGGTAATCCCCAGGCTATTGCACCTGATGCATTGAAGAATAAGCTACTCATGAAATACATGACAGTGCAGAGCATTCGGAGTGGTATCAAAGGTTAGATTCGACCACGTAGTTACCGGGTATCATCTTAAATTAACCTAAAATTTATTTCCCAGACAGTACTTGTAAGATCAGAGCAACGAAGGCCACTCTCCTCTTCAAATCACTGTCTGTTTTAAACAGTGACGGTGGTGGGAACCTGGGCTTGGCGCGCCCCGAGGAAGAGCGAAGGAAGTCACGCAACGGTATTGGACATTCACAGAGCAAAGGGGCAGTGGGAGCACAACCGTACGGAGGTCACAAAAACATGAATACGTACCGGGCCCTGTGAAAGCGTACAGCAGGGACTTCTCCACTGCAGATTTCTGCGACGCTACTAGAGACGCTGCCTTTTGCTTAAGGCATCAAGGTTAAAGTCCAAACAACCTCAAAACCCCAGGACTGCACAAAATCCCTACCCTACCATGCATGTCCCCTCATCCTCCCAGGTGCTGCGGTTTGCTACCTCAGTAGCAACTCCAAAGCCTGCAAGATCTCTCTTGCTGCATGCTTGGAGGCTTGAGTACGCTTGGACCTCTCTTTGGAAGAGATCCAGGATGCAGGTCTGCCCAGAAGAAAGCAGTCTAGGTTACGAAACCATTTTTACAAACGTCTCCTCCTACCCTAAAGACACGTGAAACTTCCCACCTGCCTCTGCTGACTAGTCTGATGCAAATATGTCTGCTGACCACTCTGCTTTTACTGAAGTACGTTTGGGATGAACACGTTGGCTGTTTGGGATCCTCTTCCACTGCACCCGCGCTCTACGGAGGGCTCTCAACACAGACCTCGGGGCCCATTCTGGGAACAGAGCACCAAAAAAAATCCGGCACCTGGGTCTTCTAATCCTTCCCTGAAACTGTCCAAAACTAGCCATGAAGACACAGCTCTCTCCAGTTCTTTCATTTAGCGCTCAGATAATGTCCGTGTCCTCCTCTGTAGTATTCCTCAAATACTTTGTGGCACTGTTAATTGAAAACTACTGCTACTCATTAACTAAACATGGATATTACTCTTTTTTTTTTTTAAAATATCCTTTAAACAAACAATAGCCCAGATCTTCAGCTGGTGCAAATTCCCCTAAGAGCTCCAAGTCCAGTAACACCCCGTCGATGCACACCACCTACGGGAGTTTACTTACCTTTGTGTGTTTGGACTTTTCACGAGGGGGAAGCAGGTCTATCTTTAGAGAAGCCCTTATCATTTCAGTCCTTCGGTGGGAAATACATAAATTAGTACGTAGCACATTTAGCTAAGCTATGGCTGATTTGTGTCAAAGCAGTGCCATCAGGCTTTAATGGGCATGGCACGTTCTCTCTGAGCACTCCCCCCCCCCCAGATTTTTTTTCTTAATATGCCAAACATTCACAATTAAAAATTAAACCTGGCTGGCAGAACATCTTTGGCTTTTTGTGTCCTCGGCATGACACCTGGTCACCAGCGTCCATCAACCTCTGATTACAAAAACTGATATTACCCTTCAGAGTAGCTACACCAAGTCAAAAAATACGTGCTCAGTTCCGTCACTCAAGCACTTCACCAGGGAAGGGCAATAAAAGCCAGTGGCAGAAATAAACTTTATCCCCAAATCAACCTTGCTCAGCTCATATACTGCATGTCCAGTAAGGCCCACTGATGAGCTGTACAGCTCCATACGACCCCACGATGTCTGCGATTACCAGCAGTGACTGCAAATTGAGACACAATCTTGCAAAGTTGCCTTCTGCTTCCTTTTTCAAGCTGCAGAACTGCACCAAAGGCAGGCACAGCTTCCCTGCCTGCTACCCACCTGCACTGCGAAGCCCAGTGAAGCACTCTCCAAAAATCCTCCCGTCAAAAAGGAGCCGCGTCATTGAGTTGCCAGCCTCAGGAAGGACCGTTTTCAATGCAGCCTCTGTCCGCAACGGCAGAGGACAGGCTGGCATAAAAAATTCACGAGCTAGCGCTCTGCGAAACTCGCAATAATCACCTTCGTTGTTGAGAGAGTCAGGCGACTTATGAGGGTTAAAGATTTTTTTTTCCCTCTGGGGTGCAGGGTATTAATGCAGCCTTTTTGCTTACCGGTGGATCTTGATCCTCAGCGGAAACGGTGGCGATAACGGTACCCTTGACCGCATCAGGAGCGACCATTCCCCTGTAGAGCTTTTTGCTAAAAGCTGGAGAGTAATCGTTCATATCCTGCAAAACATAATTAAGAGTTTAGTTCTCGAGTTCAAACAACGTCACAGACACATGCACAACTGTGTGTGTTTTTTTTTTTTTTTTTCCAACCTCTACCCAATCACTCCTTCCTCGTTAGGCAACCTATTCGCCCTTCACAATCTCTCCCTGCTCTCATTGCTATCGTGGCCACACAACACGAGCCCGCACAAGGGGAAGGTGCCGAAGCCTCCGAGGAAAGCTTCACGCAAGAGGGATCAAGAGGAGCATCCCGTCGCAGACACGCGGTCCTTCTCGCCAGCAAACCGAAGCTTCTGCGGCGGGGCCGGGACCGCCCCGACGGCGGCCGGCCGCGTTGTGGCACTGCTCGTCTTCCAAAACGAATGAGCTTGCTGCCGCCTGGAAAAGCGTCTGCTGCCTCTAACGCGAAATAAACGGAAAGAAAGTATAATGCCAGATGGGTGTTAACACTATCTGGGAGCTCAAAAGCTGCACGCTTCATACCGCTGCACACGGTGTCAAAAAGAGGTTTTAAAGGCTTGGGTTGAGCCCAGGCTCCTTGAGGAAATAACGTGTGCACACGTACACATTCACACACACCATATATATTTATATATACATATATGCGTGTGTGTGTGCACATACATATCTATATATACGTTAATGTATGTGTCTTCGTGCAAATGATACAAACATAGGGCCGCGTTCAAACACATGTATCTCTAAATCACAATGTTCATTCTAATGGAAAAACTTGCTTCTGGCGTCCCTTGCGGGGCCACCTTCCTAACTTGAATGCTGCTAGGAACAGGTTTAGTCATTTTTGTGCCCTATTTTTTAAATTATTTGGCACATCTGGCTAACATAGATTAAAGCGTCCCAGCTACCGAGAGGACGCAGGACAAAGAAAAAGAATCAAGCGCAGTCGGCACAAAGGAGGAAATTTGCTGATCCAGGCTTTTTCCCCTTTTTTTTTTTTTCCTTTTTCCCTTTTTTCCTCCTTTTTTCCCCCCAGAGCAGCACGCACACCTGAGCTTTGGGGTTATCCACGCACACACATCTAAACTCAAAGGTCTGGGGCAAAATTCATGCAATGAGGCTTCTAAACTTGTCAGAAAGTCATCATAGCTCTTCGGGCCACAAGTGCCGTATGCTGCCGCCGGTTAGCGTGCTACGCTGATCATCATTTAAAATATTTATCCATATTTCGTCAGCGGAAACTACAGCATAATAAACATCTTAAAAAAAAAAAAAAATCACTCTCACAAATCCACGTACTATAGACCCGAGTAACTAATACGTTCTCCTTCACAAAAAGGTCTGCAATTCAAACCTTCAAGGCGCTGGAAATGCTTTTTCCTTGATTTTCAGGTTTTAAAAGAGACAATCAGATCATCAAACTAAAATAAAAGGCAATTCAAATTAGAATAGCGTTCAAATGAACACATTTTGGATAAAAAAAAAAAATCTATTCACATTTAAGCAGACTAGCACTTCTGCACAGACTTACAGGCGCCGAACGCTCCGCTCCCTCTTTCCTGACCTGTTTGCGAGAAGGCAACTCATTTCATTTGATAATTTAAAATCAAGGACTATTATCTTGCGTCAACAGTCGCGCTTCTCGCAACCCTTCAAGGCGACATCGCGCTCGCAAAATAAGCTGTCCTTCGTTCTGCCTCGCTCCCAGAGACGCCGCTCTGGAGCGAGGTGGCGCTGCGGCAGGGAAGCAGCATCGTGCCACAGCCTGATGCCGGAAGGCGCCATCCATAGCCCCTCGGACCGCAGATAAGAGAGACACAATTAATTTCTTTGAGGCAGACATGGAGTGGCTACGAGTACAGGAAACCCAAGCAGTCAGAGATAGCGTATTAAAAACATTCGCAGGTGTGGCATGAGCAACCTACTATAGCAAGGCTACACCGACAAATAAGACAACCGTGTAAACGTCAGAGTGCTTGATTGCTCATTTATTTTGATTTGCACATCCCCGGAGGTTTTTCAGAGGCGCACACACCCCGTTGGGAACAACGCACGTGCACAGACAAGACTCCTCCTTCTCTCTCCCTAAGAGGTCTCCACCGAGCGTAGCGACCCAATAGCACAGTTGCAACGACTTTGCAGCTTTTGCTTCCCATGATCCGGACGCTTGGCATCACCTTCCTGAAGCAGCTCAACTTCTGGAATACCCCATCCTTTCATTCGCTTTCACGCGCCTGCCTTGCGGGCACCTGCAAACCCCCAGCCGTATCTGCTCTGGGTTCCTTGGCGCAGCAGCAAGGGATCACACTCGGCTGTTTGCTCATCAGAAGGAAAAAAAATCGCCCTGTGATGTTTTCGTTATCTTCTGCACACCCTTAGGTCACTTGAGCGCCCGAAAATCTGAGACTTAGCACACTGAAAAACAGTAATCCTGTTTAAAGATGATATACTACATCCTCCACTACAGGCAACGACAAAGTCAGCCTACTTAATGCATCTATTTTTCAAAATACATGGGTCACTATAAATATACAGGAGTACCAAGCGGAAATCAAGTAGAAACGCAGAACGCTTTCTGCCCTACCAGACCTTTCCGTTATGCACAACTGTGCCTCCTAAGCCTCGTCTGCATTGACCACGTAGGCGTCAAACGTTTCGGCGAGAACTAGAAGGAACAAGCTCCACGCGCCTTTTTTCCTGGCTCACCTCTTCTTGAATCCTGAAGCGTTCGCTCATTTTACGCAGCAGAGCTCAAGCTTAAAAATCGTAGCTTACAGCCAAATCAAAGCTCATTTGATTTCCCCCGCCGAGAACCGCCACGTTTTCTCATCGTGCGGTACGGGGGCAGTTAAGTGCACTTAGAAGAGGGCAAGACCGTCACCAGGGGCAAGCGATGAAGTCTTGCGCAGAATGTGAGCGTCTGGGACAAACACCTGCTACCAGGGGAAAGGGAACCTTCTCAGGTCGAAGGTTTACATGGAAAGTAGCTTTAGTGGTCGCAAGGCTTTTTTATTCTAATAAAAGTTGCGAGCCTCTGCTGGGGCAGGGGGAACTTCGTCAGGCAATTCTCAATAGAGTAGTCAGCGATTTTGTTAGAGATGTAGGAAAAATCCATTTCCTCCCTAAATTACAATCTCTTCCAGCTGGTATCATTTGTCCTTACACATTACGGACGCTCAAAGGTACCAAAAAGGCTGCAAAGGGCAACTATTCCTTTTCTGGCAAAATTCACCACCACCAGGGATGGGATTGCAGTCTGCATCCGATTTTGGTTTTGCGCACACTATATTTTTTTATGAATAGCTCAAGAGATCAGGGGTGTGATCCCCAAAATCCGTACCCCTGTACTCAAAGTGCCCACAGGTGAACTTGTTGCGTCAAAGCGGACTCGGCACTAAGCAGCGTTGAGCACGCAGGATTTCCCGATCAGATGTTCCAACACAACGTGCAAGTTTTCATCACAGAGAGACTTTGGGCAAAAACGTAACCTGCTGGAGACGGCACTGGGGCTTTTGTCATTACTGGAGACCAAAGACAGACAAGATATGCTCTTGCACAGCTAAAAAACTGAAGACGACACTACTAAAAGTACCTTGTGCAACCACCTCTTCAAGCTGGGACCTAACCCTGCACACATGCTGCTGGGGGCAAACTGTGCAGCATCTCCCAAATGTTCACAGCCCGTTGCTTCACCCACATAAACCCAGGCTGCTACTAACTATCAAACACACAAAACCAAAACCGAAATGCAAAAATACAGGTAAGGGATTGCCCATACATTTCTCTCGCGCATTCAAATACTTGGCTTTGTATTTTGACAGGAAGGTAATAGCAGCTACATGTTAATATATAAATACAAAACTGCATTTGTGTCCCTGCTCATTTAGCTGCAGATTTATTTTGTTTTTATACATCTCTGTCGACACAACAAAGTCAAAGCATAAGAAGATACAAAGCTTTCTTCCTTTCGCTGTTCCCTTCTACGTACGCATCAGCTTTTGTTTTGCCTTTTTTCACGTTGCTTGAACTGGGCAGAACAATGAAAACAGCACACGATGCGTCCCTACTATTTCTCCCTTATTTCTCCCTTGCACAAAGATTTAAAACAAACAAACAAAACAAAAACTTAAGCTTGAAGGAAGAACGCTATTGGAGAGATGCTCAAATATTATCCTTCTTCAGAATCCGTATTAGTATCCCTAAAAGCAAACAAAGACTCATTCAGAGATTTCTTGATGCCATCGTGTTTGCTAACTCAGACATCATCCTTAGCTCGTGAATGATCTGACGGCTGCCACCTTCCCTGCGCTCCGGACAAGACGTATCTCATTTACAAGATTTAAAGGGGTGTTATTTAGCAAAAGATTTGTAGGAAACAAATACTGTCCTGTCCGCAAAGATTATGAAAACGCTGAACAGAAAAAAAAATCCGGGAATGCCAATGAGGAGAAACAAAGCATGGGGGAAGAAAGGCATTAAGAAGCCAATCAGCATGTAATGTAAAAATCATTAAGATAGTCACTAGCTGTAACGCACTAGTACTAACCTAGGCGCTTCCACACAGGTGGTCACCACGGGGCGGGAGGGCAATACATGACTAGCGCAGAAGAAAAACGTCTGCGGTACAGTATTCCCAGCAGAAAATGAACTTGTAAACGTAAATGGACTATGGAGACTAATATATTTTTCATTTATGGGGACACCAGCAGGCCTTTAGTGTTTGTTCTTCGCTCCGAGTTAGAAATATAAGCGTTTAACGTTTGGCTGAAATAATCGCTTCTTCCTCTTCTTTCACTAGTCTGGGAAATATGCAATTTGAGTTCAAAAGATCCATACCTGCGTTTCACCTGGGCTGCACGCAGCCGGGGAGCAGAGGAGTACGGCTAGCCTCGATCGACCACTTTGGCAGCTCCCCCATCCCGGAGCCACCGGGACTTATGGCACGTTTGTCCCAAGCTGGAGTAGTCCCAGCGCTCCTCTGCGACCTTGTCGTGGCTCCTCCAGACCCACCTCCCAAGGGGTCCAGAAGGATGCAGGAA